CATTTAAACACTTGACTTGAAAGCATGTTCATAGGATGACAGCAAAAAAGTAAAGTTCCACTTTCCAAATATCAAGCTCGCATCAAGCAATTAAAAGTAGCATCATCTATTATAAAGAAATCCATTCATAAAAACCAACTTGTTTAATAGGTTTAGTAAAACATAATAGAAATTTCAAAATTTCTTTTGCAGGACTTTATTAGAACGAATAACAAGAGTGGACACAAAGTTCACGAGGATAAATAACCAACAAATGAGGGTAAGTAACTAACAAGCATGGCTTAAAACCACGAAGCAAGTGTAATTGGACCCATGAATCAAGTGCAAGCATGAAGCCCACGAAAACAAGCATGAGTACAATGCTCACGAATTACCATCCCTCTGATCCACGTGCATTGGCCATCTCACGAGGCTAGCATCTCCTAAGTACCTTGCTAGCTAGGTATACCATGGTGCACCAAGGGCTAATAGTACTGCTGTTAGCAACCAGTGTTTTGTACTCAGTCCCACCAAAAGATTTTAAAACATGTATGAAATCCCATTATAGATGGAACACCATATCATTTTTCAAATATTGAAATTCACAAAAGAATATTGTTAATCATAAAACTTCCTTGAGACAAGTTCTCATGCTTGGGTGTTTCTAATCAAGATATTGAAAAATAACAAAAATCAAATAAAATTTTTGTTTAGACTATCCTTTAAATATCAATAATAGAATTAAAATCATAACATCACGTGTGTGTATGGAAATATGCTCAATCCATGTTTTTAATAATAATAAAAAATAAATAAATTTTATTAACAAGTTATTAGGACGCTATTCACTTACCTGAGACATTTCCAAATATATAATTTACTCCTAATCAGCCATCAGCCATTTATGTAACATTGTCCGTGCCTTCATTCCTAAAGGAGCCAAAAGGGAAAGAAGGAAGGGAACCAAATCTTCTACGCCCACTCCAGAACGGCCATGGCACGAGAAAGGGAAAAGAAGAGTGGACCGATGGCGAAGCACAGAAGTGGAAGGAGAATCAACAGCACCGAACAGGGAAGAAGAAAATCTCATGAATCAAATCTCCAGTAGCGTCACGAATTTACCCATAATCCTTTGCGACTGACGGAATGTTTGGGGAAGAAATCGACAGTAACGAAAATGGTGGAGGGAGAACAACCCATGAGCTTAACAGCATCCTCCGGTAGAGATAGACCCAGCTCCTTCGTGCATGCTCATCGATGGCAAGGAAAGGAAGAACGAAGGAGGTGGAGAATGGAAGAGGAAGAATGATTTGTTAGGGATTTCGTCGTGCCCCTTCTCTCCCCCTCTCCTCATGCCTCTCGACTAAAGTGGAAAGAAGGGTAATATCTGATAGCATATTTTGTAAGGGGCATTCTCGAAATTTCTTAATATTTAAAAATATAAAATAAAATTTCTACCTCAAAAGGATAAGGATTTGAACACTGATTTAAAAGTGAGCAGCAAGCTTTTCCCTCGAGCCACGTTGTATCATTTCTATTATTTTTTTTTGGGTACAATTATCATCCAAATAGGTTATTATAAATTTTCATATTACAATTGTTTGCATGGTTATCTCACACACGTGTATACCTTCAACAATATTTAAGTCAAAATACCAAGAACTATGAATTATTTTATTTTAAATTTTCCAAATGTACACCAATTTCTCTTTTGTTGCTATAATAAAATTATTTATTACATTTTCTTTGCAAAAATTTCTTAATTTTCCCAACCGTTACACAATCCACGGCATAAGCAATAATTAACGCCTCGTTTGTGATATAGTGCTAAGGACATTTTAGGTAAAAACACATTAATAGCGCTAAAAATTTCACAAAATGCCTTACATATTGAAATATAAGATTTTCCCAAAAAAACAAAAAACAAAAAACGTATACTTGAAAACAGAGGTAGTACATCGATGCTATTTAAAAATTATATTGGGCATATTCATCTTAATCAATTGGGAAATAGTTTAACCGTTTCAATCTACGATCATTTAAAAAGTTGCAATTTGCATGCTTCCCAATACTTTCATAAAAAATCAAAAAATATGTTAAAAAAAGCATCGAAATTCCAGACGCCCAAACTGACGAACCAGTTCATAGTATGGCTAAGTTATTGTTTTCGTATTTCCCGCACGAATAAATTTTTTAGATTATAGTTGATGTTCATAACAACCAGCCAGTTAAAAATATTTATCTCTGTTTTCAATTAAATTTTAAACTACATAAATAGTTGCAATTTGCAACCTTCACTATCAACCTGAAGCTATCATGACAATGGAAAAGCTATAAATATATATATATATATATATAAATGAAGTGAAACCAACAAATCAGTTCACCGCATTGGATAAGAGCGTTCAATGAAAGTTTGAATGCTTCACGATTGTTGTAAATTTTTAAGCTTAATAATGGCATTTGGATTTTCTTAATAAATGCTAATTAGATTTGACAAGCACGTTGTTTTCTAATGATGAAAAGTTATTAATGTTTTTTTTTTGGGCACTCTTGTTGTCGTAAATATTATAATAATGGATATAATTGAGGAGTTGGCTTTCCTCCATGAAGAAAAAAATTATAAATGTGAACTATTAAATTGAATTTGATGATTTAAATATGATATTTTTAAAAATATAAATTAATTTGTTTTGTTGAAATTTAATCTGAATGATTCAAATTTATAGTATAAACAAAACAAAATAGAGAGAAACCAAGTCTCTTGATCCATAATTGTAAGAAAATGACGTCACATTGATTTGAACCATAAAATCAAGTTATTACTCGCAAGCCATCAAATTGAATCGCCAAACATATCATAAGACGATGAAACCAAGCGAGTTGAAAAACTTATTTGAATGTCATTGACAGACTAAATAGTTCCCTTGTATTTTAATAAGAAAATAAAAATAGTAGATATGAGCAGAATATCACTTTATATAAAAGCTGAAAACAGTTGAAATTAATTATTGGTTTTTTTAATAACTATATTATAACTAAAAAACCTTGAAGGTAATTTTTTTAACTAAGATATAATTTATCATAAAATCAGTTTCTTTTAAATTTGCTTCTGTATCAGGCCTTAAAAAAATTGAATTGAATTATATGAATGTGATGCATATAGAGGGATATGTGCTTGAAATTTGTGCATCTAACAAAGTTTTTAAGGCCTGTTTGGTTTCTGTCTTTTAAAAATCAGATTTTGTTTTCAAAAACAAAAAAATAAAAAATTTGTTTAGATAAGTATTCTAATTTTAATTGTTTCCAATTCTCATTTTTTGTTTTTAGAAACAAAAATAGAAATATTTTAAAATTGTTTTCATTTTATTTTTCTTGTTTTCATAATACATCACATTTAGTCATTGAAAACTACAGTCACATTTGATCAATTGCAATCATAAGTCACTACTATTAACCACATCCAAGACTGTCATTTTTGAACAATCTTTTAATTCTAAAACAGTTTTTAAATTAGTGCAAACAAACAAATTTTCCTTTTTTTTGTTTTGGAAAAATACTTTTAAAAACTATATTGCAAAATAGTTTTTAAAAATAAAAAATGGAAACACAAACAAACAGGCCCTTGTATAACACATTTTTATATTTTATTCAAGAACCAAGTTGAGATGGTTGGATTTAAATATAAGTATGAACACTTCGAAATCTGAGTTGCATATGTATGAATGTTATATTTGTTTATTTGTATAGTACAAACTAAAAAAAATTCTTTTTGTTTTGTTTTGGAAAAAATAATTTTAAAAAATGTATTGCAAAATAGTTTTCAAAAACAAAAATAAATGAAAACACAAACAAACAGGCCCCTATATAACACATTTTTGTTTCTGTTTTTTGTTTTACTTTGTTTGGTTTTAAAGTGTATTTTATTCAAGAACCAAGTTGAGATGGTTGGATTTCAATGTAAGTATGAACACTTCGAAATCTGAGTTGCATACATATGAATGTTAGATTTGTTTATTTGTATGGTACAAACAGGAAAAAATTCTTTTTTCTTTGTTTTGGGAAAAATAATTTTAAAAACTGTATTGCAAAATAGTTTTTAAAAACAAAAATAAATGGAAACACAAACAAACAGGCCCCTATATAATACATTTTTGTTTCTGTTTTTGTTTTACTTTGTTTAGTTTTAAAGTGTTTTTTATTCAAGAACCAAGTTGAGATGGTTGGATTTAAATATAAGTATGAAGACTTCAAAATTTGAGTTGTATATGTAAGAATGTTAGATTTGTTTATTTGTATAATACAAACAAACAAATTCTTTTTGTTTTGTTTTGGAAAAGATAATCTTAAAAACTATATTGCAAAATAGTTTTTAAAAACAAAATAAATGGAAACAAAAACGAATATGCCCTTATATAACACATTTTTGTTTCTGTTTTTTTATTTCACTTCGTTTTGTTTTAAAATTTATTTTATTCAAGAACCAAGTTGAGATGGTTGGATTTAAATATAAGTATGAATACTTCGAAGTCTGAGTTGTATATGTATGAACGTTAGATTGGTTTATTTGAATAAAACTTGAGGATTTTTGTTTTTTGTTTTTTGTTTTTGAAAAATATAGGGGACTAGGGCCCTCCCTCCCTCCCTATATATATGGAATAATGCTATGCAAGAATCACAATGCAAACGCTTGATATGTATCACCTTTTAGTGTACAATGAGTTCTCAACTTACTAAGATGCTCCTCCTTTTCGCAGTTTGGTATGCTTTGATTTGTCTCACTTCTAGTTTTCCAAATGAGAATTTCATTTCGACTCTAGATCTGGACAAGTTCACTTCTGAGAAAGAAGTGTTTGAACTTTTTAAACTGTGGAAGAAGGAGACAGAAAGAGAATACCAAACCCTAGAAGAGGAGGTGATGAGATTTCAGATTTTTAAGAGCAATCTGAAGTATGTCATAGAGGAAAATGCAGAAAGCAAGACACCCTATGACCAACGTCTGGGGTTGAACAAGTTTTCTGATGAGTTATGAAGAGTTCAGCGAAATCTATCTACGTGAGAGAAAGCCGCCCCATATCAAAAGCAACTTGGCCAATGTGGTGTTCAACGACGAATCATGTGTTGCACCTTCTTCCTGGGACTGGGGAGAAAAGGCAGCTGTAACTCTGGTTAAAGATAAAAAAAACTGTGGTTAGTTTGAATTAATTACTTTGTTTTTGAAGGGTTTAAAAGGATAATTTCATTTTTAAACTATAAGTCTAAGAGTGTTGGGAATTCTAAACTTATTTTTAATATAATATTCTCTTTCAACTTTTGAAAATGATACATTATGAAACCTACTATTAACAATGTTAACTTTGATTATTAGTTGAACAAAAAATTATAGAAAATGACTGCAAAAGGTACAGAAAATGACCAAGTAGGGTCAAGAAAATTTATTTGGTCATCTTTTATAATTTTATCGATCATTTAGTTTTCTGTAATTTTTGACATTTTCTAATTAACTAATGATCAAAATTAAATTTTATTTATAGTAGGGAAGGTACTGCACTGTTTTTAAAAGTTGAAGGAGAATATTATATTAAAATAAATTTATAGTTTCAGTCGCTCCTTCACTCATAATTTAAGGGAGAAATTGCCCAATAACCTTTTTTTTAAATAACTTAATCGTAACATATGACACAAGCATATATAAAGCATATAAAAATCATTTCCACAGGTTCTTGTTGGGCATTCTCTGCAACTGGAGCCATTGAAGGAATTACCAAGATAGCTACACATTATCTTCCTTCTCCTTCTGAACAACAACTCGCATCTTGTGACAAGTATGACTCTGGTTATAAAGAAGGGTGGTTTTGTGACGCATTTGGATATGTCTTTGAAAATCATGGTATTGCCTCAGAAAGCGATTATCCATATATAGCTAAAGATAGTCCCTGCAATTCCACACTGGTGAGTGTTTTATCTTTCCCTTCACATCTTTGCTTGGGTCAATTTCAAACTTTGAATATTTATAAATATATTGCCTAATTTTTTTTTAAATTTTTAAAATTTTGAAACAGGCGAAAAAGATATCTGCTACTATTGAAGGCTATGGTTGTTGGGTGACACCTATATCAGAGGAATCTCTTAAATGTGCTGTTTACTCACAGCCAATTAGTGTTAACATATATGCAAGCAAAAGCTTGAAGCAGTACGCAGGCGTAAGTCATGCCCAGCTAAATTGGATAGGATTATTGTTCAACTTCATGTCTTCAACTTCTAATATATATATATATATATATATATTATAACATTAAAATGAATTGACGCCATTCACTACTGTATATGACTGTTCTTGAAGTCACTCATTCAACAATTTTTTTAAATAGTATATTCATTTATATTTATATTTTTACTTTGCTTAGTTGCTATAATATTCTAAGTTTTCTTGTTTTTTTTTTAGTTTCATGTTCCCCTTTAAGGTAGCGGGTTATTCTAGTTAACTAATTAATTTATATATTAATTTAGGGATAACATAATTTTTAGTTCCTAAACTTTGTCTCGTTTATTGATTTAATCCTTGAATTTTGACTCAATACAACTTGGCCTTTGTAATTTATTGAATTAAAGATATAAGGACTAGATTGCACTGAGTCAAAAATAATATGAAGTGAGCTATCCTGGGTCAACAAACTTAAGAGAATGAGTTGTTCAAAAGTCAGGGACTGAATGGATAATTGAAAAAGAATCGGAGACTTAAAATTATAGTTTTCCATTAATGTATTGACAGTAGATTTGTAGTCCAGGGGATCATCTATCATGTCATATCTCTCTACTAGTTCTTCAATGTAACAAGATATATTTTCGAAGTTAACAGATGTCTTATTTGGCAGGGAATTTTTACTGGGGACGATTGCTCATCAATTGGTTCATGCGAAATTAACCATGCTGTATTGATTGTGGGATATGGTACTTGGAACGGTCAAGATTACTGGGCTGTCAAAAACTCATGGGGAAGCTCTTGGGGACAGTATGGTTACATCTTCATCAAAAGAAACACAGGTTCTATTGAAGGAGTATGTAACATGAATTGTCATGGTGGTGCCCCAACCAAAGGCCTACTTTTGAAGCTTGATTCCTCTGCATGAAATCCACCTACGGCTATATAATAAATAAAGCCAAGCGATATATATAGTTATGTGTCATACATCGTGAGCCTTACTATATATGTATTTGGTATAAATAAATGGCAAAATGCATCGCCATTAAGTAAAGCTGATGTAATGCCTTATTTATATATGAATAAAAGCTCTGTTTGTGTGTTTCAACTTTTGTTCTTCACAATGAATTAGGACTAATTTGTTTCACAGAGAATTAATCTAACGAAATGAAGAGGTTGGTATTCTTAAGAATTTATCATTAAAATGGTTTCTAAGTTCTAACTTGTAAACAAATTATTCTTAATTTAGCAAACACTAAGATGAGTTCGAGGTAAAAATAAATTCAAGACACAAAAATAACAAAATAATGGAGACACAATTTTAAGATTATGTTAGCAAAGCAAAAAAAAAAAATTGATGTTATATATATTTCTTTCCTATTATGCTTTAAGATTAGGTTAGAAAGAAAAATGGCACTTAAACATTTTTCTTAATGACATTGACATTGACATGACCTTCTCAAGTACTCAAAGAATCACGGAACCAAGATTCAGACTTTGAAGACGTCCCAAACCCAAGCAATGGGGTCACACACACAAAATGGTTTCCACCTCAAGGTAGGATTTGATTGGAATAGATGGTTCATTTAATTTTCTTAACATTTATAGGGATGAGGCCAATTATATTGTTCAAGCATCGATTCATGTAAACATAATCATGCTGTATTAATTGTGGGATATGATTCTTTGGGTGCTGGTCAAGATTATTGGATCGTCAAAAACTCATAGGGACCATCTTGGGGGAAATGTGGTTCAGTACATCTTCATCAATATTTTGTGATTTTGGTAATGACTTTGGTCAGGTCCGCACAATACTTTTATTTGGCGTGACTAGTTACCTTTGCACCTGATTTCTTAATCTATAAACCTTTCAAAAGTATAATCAAAGATCCAGAAATACTTCCAACAAAACCTTAAAAAGTAATAACATATAGATTAAGTCCTACAATATCAAAATAAAGTAATGTGTGCAGGGGCATAACCAGAATGAATGTTAAGGGGGGCCAAAATATTAAAATTAAGTCCTACAATATCTATATTTTTTATTTATTTTAAATTTTTATGACAATTAATTGTTTGTGTAATTTTATAACTTTAAAAATCTTATATAAGAAATTACAAATAATTATATAATATTGATCTGTAAAAATTTAAAAATTTAAAAGTGAAATTATTTATCTGTAAAATTAATCACAAAAAATGTAAAAAATATAGAAAAACTATATATGTGATAAATTAAGAAAATATTTCTACAAATTCTCAGTTTTTAATAATAATTTATGTTTTCTTTTAAATATTTTTAATTGCAAAAACTTGAAGATTAGCATGTATAATATAGATATTAAGTATCATTTTATGTTTAGGAATAAATTTTTGGCTTTCATAGAAATAGTAAATAATAAGTTATGTATTCTATTTCCTTCAAAGTATATTAATTAATATGTATACTCACATATTTGTGTGTTTATAATTTGGTTTCAATAATTTTTATATTTATGTCTCAAATCATGGCAATTTAAGTATTTAGATTATATTTGAATAACATTTGACTTGGAAAAAAGTGCATCAAATCCTTTTATTTCTTGGTCTGGGGAGAGGGTCAAGCCACACATATATATTATACAGAAACTGGTAGAGGATGTGAATTATATTAGACAACTATGAAACTAAACAAAACCTGGAGTTTAAGCTTTTTGAGTGGCGGAACCTTGGCCCCCCTTAGGTATACCATGGTTCCGCCACTGAATGTGTGCAAATCCAAAGTAAAATACATATTTTACTAATTTGGGTATTCAAAATATATACAATTATGTCAAAATATGTTAAAGTCTAGGGAAAATGTTCTCAAGTGAGGTGAGATTCTAGAGGTTAACATAGATCTTGAAAGAGTGCAAAGCTGTGCGTGAAAATGACAATAACGGCAAAAACTAGCAGAGATGATTGAGGGAGAAGAAGGAATGCCAATCGACGGAGGCGACAGAATATTCAGGCTATACAGAAAGACTATGAAAAGGAGTTGAGATAAAAGAAAGATTAAAATAATTTAAATAATATAAATTAAATAAGAGAAATAAAAATGTCAGGTAAATCCCAACTCAAATTAAAATTGTTGTGACGTGTTATGATGCTCTAGTTGGTCAGTGCACATATGAGGTGGCACTATAATAGGAAAGGCTTTTCTATAGTAGCAAAAAAGCAAGTTTTTTTACATTAATTCATGAGATAATATTGTTTCAAGGGTGTAGAAAGTCTATGTTTTTTATATCAGTTGTATTAACTGATGTAGAAAGAACATCAAACTTAAAAAAGAAAAAGCTAAAAGATCACTTTTTACATTAGTTAGTACCAATAACCAATATAGAAAGTGCTTTCTTCATTGTTTGCGAAGGCACTCAATGTAGAAAGTCTAGCACTCAAGTACAAACATTATAAAAATGTCACTATCTAAACTTATTACATTGTTTGTTTTTCAACCGATATAAAAGTGCACTATAAAATCTATAATTTGTACTAGTGTGACATTTTAGGTCTACCCAAGAATTTTTTAGAGACCTAATTTCATATACATCAATTTTGGGCTTGGCATGGGCATATAGTTGTGGATTTTTTTTAATTCTCTACTTCATATAAATCAGGCTAAGTATTGGGATAAAATGGATCCAAACAACTCATTGGCTCATCTCTATTGTGAAGTGTATTGCTTAAAGCTAATATCGCTCTGTTTTTTCTCCAATTTCTATTTCCCTTGATACCAATAATTGATTATTTGTTTCTAATGGGAGGCAATTAATTTTGATATACTAATAAGGACATTTTTGGTAAAAATACATTAATAGCACTTAAAATTCCATAAAATGCCTTATATATTGAAATATAAGATTTTCCAAAAAATAAAAAATAAAAACCTTATACCTGTAACAGACGTAGTACATCGATGTTATTTAAAAATCATATTTGGCATATTCATCATAATCAATTAGGTAATCTGTTTAACAGTTTCAATCTACCATCATTTAAAAGGTTACAATTTGCAAGCTTGCCAACACTTTGATAAAAATTCAAAAAATATGTTAAAAAAAGTATGGAAATTCCAGATCTCCAAACTGATGAACCACTTCATAGTATGGCAAAGTTATTGTTTTCGTATTCCCCACATGAAGAAAATTTTAAGATTATAGTTGACGTTCATAATTAACAACCAGGCAGTTAAAAATATTTATATTTGTTTTCAATTCAATTGTAAATTGTATAAATAGTTACAAATTGTAACCTTCACTATCGACCCTTTAATTAAATTATATAAATAGTTACAATTTGTAACCTTCACTATCAACCCGAATATATCATGACAATTGAAAAGCTATAAATATATATATATAGATATAGATATATATATATAGATATAGATATATATATATATATATATAAATGAACTGAACCCAACGAATCAGTTCACTGCATTGGATAATTACCCGGAGCGTTCAGTGAAAGTTTGAACGCTTCACGATTGTTGTAATTTTTTAAGTATAATGATGGCATTTGGATTTTCCTAATAAACGCTAATTAATTTTGACAATTCGTTGTTTTCTAATGATGAATACTTATTATTGTTTTTATTTTTTGGAACTCTTCTTGTCGTCATCGTCATCGTCAATATTATAATAATGCGTATAGTTGATCCATATATAATTATAAGAAAATGGCGTCACATTGATTCGAACCATGTAAAATAAAGTTGTCATTCGCAAACCATCAAATTGAATCTAAAAGATCATAAGACAGTGAAACCAAGCAATTTGCAATTCTTATTTGAATGTGAATGAATGACAGACTATATAGTTCGCTTGTATTTTAATATTAAAATAATAATGTTAGATTTTAACAGAATATCACTTTATATAAAAGCTGAATACAGTTGAAATTAATTATTAGTTTTTTAATGCACATGTGATAACTAAAATAAAACCGTTCAAGGTAATTTTTTTAACCAAGGATATAACTTATCATAAAATCAGTTTCTTATATATTTGCTTGGGTATCGTGAGTTAAAAAAAAAAAAAACTTTGAATTGAATTATATGAAAATGATGCATATAGAGGGATAGAGGGATAGAGGGATATGTGCTTGATGTTTTCTTACAACAAAGATAGTTTTATATAACAATTTTTTTGTTGTTTTTGTTTTTGTTTTAATTTGTTTAGTTTTAAAATGTATTTTATTCAAGAACCAAGTTGATATGGTTGGATTTTAAATATAAGTATGAACACTTTAAAATTTGAGTTGTACATGTACGGGTGCTAGATTTGTTTATTTGTATAAAACTTGAGGATTTTTTTTTTTTTGAAAAATATAAGGGACTGTAGCTCTCTTTTCCCCTCCCTGTATATATGGAATCCAAACGCTTGATATCTATCACCTTTTAGTGTACAATGAGTTCTCTACTTACTAAGATGCTCCTCCGTTTATGCTTTGATTTGTCTCACAACTAGTTTTCCAAATGAGAATTTCATTTCGACTCTAGATCTGGACAAGTTCACTTCTGAGATCTTTGAAGTTTTTGAACTGTGGAAGAAGGAGACAGAGAGAGAATACCAAACCCTAGAAGAGGAGGTGATGAGATTTGAGATTTTCAAGAGCAATCTGAAGTATATCAAAGAGGAAAATGCAAAAACATATTCACCCTTTGACTCTCGCCTAGGTTTGAACTTTGAACAAGTTTTCTGATTTGAGTTATGGAGAGTTCAGTGAAATTTATTTAAATGAAAGAAAGCTGCCCAATACACTAAAAAAAAAAAAATTAACTTTTAGCAGCAACAAAAGTCACGGTTGAAAGCTAAAAAATTGCCACAATGTTGCCACAAGTCACCACAAATTTAAAGATTATAGTTGATGTTCGTAACAAATAGCCAGTTAAAAATATTTATCTCT